CTTACTCTAATCGGATTCTTCTAGAGAATTCTTTCTTTCTCAATCCGAATGACACTGGCAGGGATTTGTTTGAGCAAGAACACATGAGATATTCTTATCATGACAGCGAGAGTGGATGATCATTTATCGACACTAAATAGTCCTCGTAAGGTTGGTTACCGCTCCCTATGACCAATTGTGCTAGATCTGGAACCTCTAGACCTATAAGTCTGATATCAAAGAGTGAAGTACTCATACAGGATATCCTTGGTGTCTCAAGTCTAAGGACCAGATACACCATTAGGACTACGGAATCACTATCTAACAATAAGGCATAATCAACCATCCAACATTCCGTAAGCGGATCAATTAGTGAACTCATTCCCTAATGAGCACCTATACTGTATCCCTAGTGTCCCCACATAAGCAACTATAAGACCAACTGCATCCATCGTATGGGCGGGTATACAGCACATTAGTCTGTCCGGTTATCTCGATGTCCCTCTCGAGTAACCTATGACCGGGATTATTTAGGATCTATGTTTAAAGGTGAATCGATCTCATTATCATGATCTCATCATGATCTGATTCTCATTGCATAGATCCATAGACATCATAATATATTCAAGCAATAGACAATATAAAGTGAGAAAATGTCAAATGATAATAAGCAAAAAGACTACGTGTCAAGTCACACGTGCCATCACTCGCGTGATTGGCTTGTAGGGCACCTATAACTAGTAATTTATACATCAAGCAATATAAAGTGAGAAAATACCATAATAATAATGAGCAAAAAGACTGTGTGTCATGTCAAACGTGTCATCACTCACATGATTGGCTTGCAAGGCACCTACAACTAGTAATCTCCCACTTGACCTAAAGCCAATCACTTATGTGTCTAATCTCCATCAAACCCCCTATGATGGTAAAAAATAATCTGAGATAACGGCTTTGTCGGTGGATCTTCAATGTTATCTTCGGATGAAACTCTTTCCATTGCTACATCTCCTCAAGCCACGATCTCTCTAATAAGTTGGAATCTCCTTAGAACACTTCTAATGAGACTTGGGTTCGTCCCATAGTTATCACAATACAAGGGAATCGACTCCTCGCTGCCTAGCACGACTCCTAGATCTGTAATGAACTTATTCATCCAGACTCCCTCCTTTGTTGCCTCTATCACAATAATGCACTTCACCTCTGTGGCCGAGTCACCAATAGTATCTTGCTTGAAACTCTTTCAGTATACTGCTCCTCCATTCAATGTGAATACAAACCCTGAATTAGACTTGCTATCATCGACATCGGACTGGAAGCTCGAGTCCGTGTAGCCCTTAACCCTGAGGCTACTTCCTTCATATACTAGTAAAAGATCTTTAGTCCTTTTCAAGTACTTAAGGATACACTTTACTGCTTTCCAATGCTCCAAGCTTGGATCTGCTTGATACTTGCTCATGGCACTCAGAGCATGTGTTATATCAGGCCTGGTACATAGCATAGCATACATGATAGACCCTATCGCTAAGGCATAGGGTGTCCTATCAATGTCTGCCCTTTCTTCAGGAGTCTTTGGGGACATATTCCTAGAAAGCGATATCCCATATCTCATTGGTATAAGATCTCTCTTAGAATTTTTCATATCAAACCTTTTGACAATGATGTCTATGTACCTAGATTGGGATAAGCCAAGCATTCTCTTAAATCTATCTTTATAGATCTAAATTTATCTTTCCCTAAGTCCTTCATGGAGAAGTATCTAGATAGTCAAGCCTTTATTATGAAGAGCATTCTCATATCATTCCCAATGATTAGGATATCAACATATAACACTAAAAATGTGATAGCGCTCCCACTTACCTTCCTGTATACATAAGGCTCATCTTCGTTCTTAACGAAGTCATAAGATCTGATCGCTTTCATCAAATCTTATGTTCCAACTTCGGGAAACTTGCTTTAGTCTATAGATAGACCTAAGTAACCTGCATACCCTATCTGGACTATCCTTGGACATGAATCCCTCATGCTGTATCATATACACCTCCTCTTTAATGTTACCATTGAGGAACACGGTTCTTACTTCCATCTACCATATCTCATAATCATAGTGTGCTGCAATAGCCAACAGAATTTGGATAGATTTTAATATGGCTACGGGTGAGAAGGTTTCGTCATAGTTAATACATTGCCCTTAACGATACCCTTTAGTCACTAGCCTTGTTTTATAGATCTTTACCTTTTCATATACTCTGATCTTCTTTTTGAAGATCTATTTTCAACTAATGGTTACAATACCCTCGGGTGCATCAACTAGGTTCCAAACCTTATTGGAGTACATAAAATCTATCTCAGAATTCATGGCTTCTTGCTACTTCCCGAAGTCTATACTCATAATAGCCTCCTCGTAGGTCTAAGGATCAATATCTTCAACATCCTCTCATTTGATATATCTCATATATCTCTCAGGAGGATGGGGTACTTTGCCGAATCTAGTAATATCAGAACCTGTATGCTAGGTACCTGAATAGATTTTGTCTATGGAATGGTACAAGAGCTAGGTTCCCAAACTTCGCTCAACTTTATCGTGCTCCCACTATCTCCGCCAAGAATGTGTTCCTTCTCAAGGAACACTGGTCTCTTGGCTACAAAGATCTTTTGGTCCTCGGGGTGATAGAAATAATATCCACAAGTTTCCTTGGGGTGTCCCACGAACTTGTATTGTTTCGTCGTGTATTTTAACTTGTCGGTGTTGTGTCTTTTAACGTGGGCAGGGCAGCCCCAAATCTTAACAATCTTAAGATCAGACTTTTTTCATTTTCATATCTCATATGGTGTAGACACTACCGACTTAGTTAGAATTCTATTCAAAAAGTAAGCTATGGTCTCTAGGGCGTATCCCCAGAATGAGATGGGTAGGTCGATGAAACTCATCATTGACCATACTATATCTAACAATGTGTGATTCTTCATCTCGGATACACCATTGAGCTGAGGTGTATAAGGAGATGTTCATTAGGATATAATCACATGGTCCTTGAGGAACTAGATGAACTTCATACTCAAGTACTCACATTCTCGATCTGATCGAAGAGTCTTAATACTCTTTCCAGTCTGGTTCTCCGCTTTATTCTTATACTCCTTGAATTTCTCGAATGCCTCGGACTTGTATTTCATCAAGTACACGTGTCCGTACCTAGAGAAATCGTTAGTAAAAGCAATGAAGTAGGAGTAGCCACCTATAGCATGAGTTGACATGGGACCATATTCATCACTATGTATGAGTTCCAACAACTTAGTGGCTCTCTCTCCAGTTTCATTAAATGGAGAGCTGTTCAGTTTTCCATGAAGGCAATGTTTGCAAGTTGCAAATGACTCATAGTCGAATGGATCTAGGTATCCATCCTTTAGCAACTTTTGAATCATTCCCTTATAAATATGACCAGCCTACAATGTCACAGGTATGTATCATTTACCTCATCTCGTTTCCTCTTAAATTTACTTACATTCATGATATGTGGAGCAGTGTCTAGCATAAATAAACAATTATGCAATGTTCCTTTCGTGATGATGTTATCATCTAATAATATTAAACAACCATTGTTCTCAAAAACTAATTTATAGCTATTAACTATTAAACATAAAATGGAAATAATGTTTTTCATAATAGAAGGAACAAAATAACATGCATCCAATGCAATAATAGCTCCATCAAGCAGATGTAAAGTGACCTCGTCGACAGCAATAACAGCAACTCTTGCTCCATTGCCCATCTTGAGGTTCATCTCACCTCTCGCCAATCTCCTAAGCTTTGTCAAAACCTGTAACGAATTACAGATATGATAAGTACTACCAATATCTAATACTCATATGTTATCATAAGAGATTGATCATGAATGTACCTAAAGCTTCTCCAAGCTTCTGTTTCGCCCTCTTTGCAAGGTACTCTTTGCAGTTCCTCTTCTAATTGCCCATCTTTGTCGTAGTGGAAGCATTGGCCTTTATCCTTCGTCGGATCTTTCTTACCAACATTTGCTTTACTCGATCTGCCCTTGCCTTTCTTCAGGAACTTTTCTGCCTTCTTTTTCTTTCTGGTTTCACCTGCATAGAAAACTAACTTCTCCTTCTTAATAGTGCTCTCTACCTCTTTCAGCATACTGAGAAGTTCAGGAAGAGTCATCTCAAGCTTATTCATGCTACAATTTATTATGAATTAAGAAAATGAATCTAATAGGGACTAAAGTATAAGGTTCACACACGTCATTCTTTATGGCCATCCCTAGACCTGTGAGATTCTCCACTCAATCATCTTTAGGACATGGTTTTGAACTGATATCACCTCAGCCATCCTAGTACGGAAGAGACTCTTAGATATCTTATGTCATTGAGTCCTTCCCTATTCCTCAAATAGTTTGCGGACATGTAGGAGAATGGATTTGACATATATCTTTTCATATTATCTTTGTAACTCAAGAGTCATGGAGCTCAACATGTAACATTGAGCAAGAGTAGAGTCATCTATGTACTTCACGTAGCGAGAAATCTCATCCTTGCTTATCCCTTCTTCGGGCATAGTCATCACTATATCAAGGATGTACGTGATTTTCTCTATCGTGATATCTCTTAATAGTTCTTTTAGGTACATCTTGACTTGTTGACAACTGAAAACTAAATTTTAAATGTTGTGTCTGGGCCAATCCAGCATTCATTTTATTTTCATTAAATGAGGCCTTTCATTTTAGATCTTCCAAGCTAGCTTGAATAGGAGGCCTTTGTATGGTTAACCATTATTAATTGTTGCATAATCCAGGTCTTTAAAGTTAATAATAAGACATCATTGCTTAGCATGACATATTGTTAGCGACAAAATTTTGAATATTGTAGTTTACAAGTACATGAGCTAGTAGACTAATAATGTCTTTTTGGTTATTCTGGAACCGAGTAACCTATTGAGTTTTCATCGCCCATGGAATATCTTATCTAGTTTTGTATAATCTTAATTTTGGGTGAATACATATCTGCAGATAGGAAATTGGTCTAGATGGTTAACAGATCTATTCGGCAAGGACGCTGAGGATTCAACTAAAGATGTTCAGGATGCCAATGAGGAAGAGACCTTAAAGGAGGCAAATGCTGGATCAAAATATTTTCATCTGCTTAATGAGTTGTGTGATCTTTTAATGCTTCCCAAGGACATGCTACTTGATAGGACCGTCAGAAAAGAGGTTAGCTTTTTGAAACATAGGCTTTTTTTTCTTTAATTCGTCATCTCCTCATGTCTCCCATGTACTTTTCTGACGTGCAATTGATTTTTTAAATCATTGAAGGTCTTCCCTTCTATTGGTCTGCCCTTGATAACACGGATACTATGTAACTTTACACCTGACGAGTTTTGTCCAGATCCTGTTCCAGGAGTTGTGCTGGAGGAACTAAACACTAAGGTCTGTGGTGCATCTCTCTCTCTCTCTCTCTCTCTCTCTCTCTCTCTCACTTCAAATATCACCTCGTTTGGTTGATCATTCTCTAGGTAGACCTTTGTGTGATCTCAGTCTCTAAGTCCTGCAACTTGTAAAAAGTTTGATTTTATGCATGCCATTAGATTTTTCTTTATTTGTCTTGTTTCACAACATCTGTCGTACTCTGCTGTCGAACTCTTTAAGCGTACTAATTGCGTTGGTTTTTTTAGAGCATTCTGGAGAGGAGGGTGACGGACAAGGAAGTGATTGGTGGCTTCCCGTGTGCAGCTGCTCCGGTGGTATACTTGCCTCCTTCAGCTGATGATGTGGCGGAGAAGGTGGGCGATGTAGGTGGCAAAGCAGGGCTCGAGAGGAGAGGTTCCATGGTCCAGAGAAAGGGATACACGAGCGATGAGGATCTGGATGTATTAGACGACACTCCGCTTGCGCATATTATGGACAAAACACCGCCACTCGTCTCCCCATCTCCAGTGGTTGGAGGGCACAAGGACAGTTGGACCTCGAACTCCAGGTACAATCTCCTCCGGGAAGTGTGGTGCGTGTGAATATGCCTTGTCAACCTGGGGTCTCCGCCACCAAGCCTAGTGAAAGTTCACAAACATTAGACCACCGTGCGGATGAGATGTGTCATAGGCTTCATCTTCACCAGGACGTCGTATCGTTTGACACATCCATTTGCTGCTTGTATTGCACACATCTCTCGGTTGAATACGCAAGCTTTCAGTCTTTTCTTTCCCCTTGTGTTTTTCCCGTTTAATTCTTTTTTTTATTTTTGTACTCTGTGCTTGGTGGTCGGTTTTAATGTTGTCTTTTTATTGTATAGTCTTTTTTTTTTTTTTTTGTACTCTGCTTCAGTCGCCCTTTCAATCCTTGTTTCAACAAGTTGAGAGCTCTTCTCTGGCAGCCGACTCGTTCCTCTTCACCTTGGCACAGTGCGTATCATGTGTGCTTGCTCAGCTTCACATTAACCCGCACGTCAGTTGGCACACTGCCAATACCTCTGCTCGAAAGTAGTGCTCGCGATATGAGGTCATGCGAACAGTGTGACCATATCACACAGCCCAAGATAGATCGATAGATAGATAGATAGATAGATGATTCGATGAGTGAGAAGCAACTGTCAGGTGGTTTCATATCCATGTCTCCGCCACATCATACCTTCAGAATTAATAAGCAAAAAAGGAGGGCGACGGTTTTATTTTTAACTCTGTCCAGTCAAAGATTATGTTAGTCACTGTCTCTCTCTATATAATAAAAAAAATAAAAAATAAAAAATAAAAATTCCAAGAAGATGATGCTCCCTAATACAACAAATACAGGGGAAACACATCCCGGCAGAACACCAAGTTTAATGTACGTCACCGTGCAATTTTCTTTTCACGGTCAGGACTTAAAAAGACGACAACAAGAATTACCAAACTTTGGTTTCAATCAACACAAATCACTTCATACATGACAATCCAAACCATATCAGTCACTACTAGTCATGGGCTTAGGGTATTCTGCCCTGCCACTCCTTCGATTCTAATCGTACATCCAACCTGTGTCATGGAAGATGAGGTTTCTATCTATCTTAAATTCTACGTTAAATTTTATCTTTTATTTTATTATTTTAATATTCATTAATTTTCTTGTTCGGATCCGCATTTTTTATTATTACACTAACATATTTCCTTTGTTTTTTTTTTTTTTGTTTTTTGCTTGAATCTTATTAACGACAGTACAGAAAATCACATCCAAATAATAATATGGGGAAAATTTTCCTTTCTTTTATTTCCCCTGTGAACAACCCAACCACTCCTTCCCCAACGCTTTCGCCTCCCGTGTTAGAATTTTCGTTTTATAAATTTTGTAACAATAATAATAATAATAATAATAATAATAATAATAATAATAAAAGAATACACACGCTTCTTTAAAGGCGGCTTCACACCCTGACGATCTTGGCGGCTCGGACGATCGGATTGGCTCGAGCGATGGCCGCCCGGGCGGCGGCCTTGTAATCGTAGCCGCAGTCGTGGCGGTCGGAGTAGCGGTGCTCCCCGCAGAACAGCTCCCCGCAGCGGCACCGGAACCCCGTGAACCCCACCCGCTTCCGGCAAGACAAGCAGCGGTTAACCTTCCTCGCCGGCGCCGGCGCCGGCGAAGCCAAAGCCGCCGTGGGGGCCCCTTGCTCTTCCGCTCGATCAGCTGGGTCCGGCGACCGGATCGAAGGGGCGGATCTGCGGGAGCAGGACCGGGGAAGGGAGGAGGACGCAGCGGCGGGGGAGGCCTGGAAGCATGTCTGGCACATGTTGTTAGTGGCGGGGTCGCCAGGGAACCCGCAGTTGTTGATGCAGAGGGCGAGGCTTTCGTGGGCATGCAGCTCCATCTCCTTCTCCTCTCGCTGAGCCATCGCTTCTTATCTCCTCGTCTTCTTCTGGACCTCGGTCGGTAGGTTGTAATAACTGGGAATTGGGAGGCCCTGCTAAAGGAACCGGAATTCGGGGAATAGATGATCGGGATCGACTCCTGGGGGTTTTACTTTTATAGAGGGGAAAGATATGTAGGTGATGACGCAGGAAAGAAGAAAATGGGTGGGGTGGCGTGGCGAGGTAACGCGTACCGGATGTGTTCCTGAAAGCAACTCCTTTTCCCAAATTTAGCCCTTTCATTTGCCTCCAATTACCTCGGACCCACGCTTTTCATCTCGGAAAATTGTGTCAGTTAGGGGTTTTTCCGGTGACATGGGATGCGTGGCCTCTTGGTGTCGACGCGTCCGCCCTCCCGGTCTGACCGTGTCCGGATTCCACGTACCGGATTTGAGTTCGATTGGGTTCGCCATCTGCGTCGCGTCGGGCTGGCCTTTAACGCGGGGACGCTGTCGTGGCGGCGGCCGAGCAGCCCATCAACGTGTCCGATCCCGTTGCCACGCGTCAACCCAGCTGGCCTGGTTGATTCCGGGCGCACGCTGACCGCCTGGTCGCGTGTCCGAAAGAGTCGCCGAAGGGAATCACCTCGGAAATCTGCGTGTGGTGACATACGTATGGCTTAGATGAATCTGGCGACTCATATCTGTTGGGCTAAAGTGGGCTAACAATTCATAGCGGGCTTAACAATTTATAATTTATCTTTTTTTTTTAAACTTAAATCTAAATCTAATAAGAAGATACGAAAAGAGAAAGAGAACCGTAGCAAGTATAACATTAACGTGATCGAAAAAAAAGAAAAAAAAGAAAGAAAAATAAGAGAAAGAAAAGCAAGAAGGTAAGAACAACGTAGATATACTGTTCTCAATCATCTATGTAGTATTCTCATATCAAATTAGATCAGATCTATAATAGATTCTTACTATGATTATTTGAAATTTTTTTGGATATTATACACATTGACATAATCCTTGTATCTCAATTAGTTTCTTATGATTGTTGCTTGAGTTTTGAGCAAGAGACTTTGAGATTTGTATATTTATTATTCTTATAGTGGATTTTTTCTGGTTTGCCCCATAGCTTTTACCATTCACGTTGAAGGGATTTTTCATATAAATCTTGGTATCATATTTTATTGTGATTACATTTAATTTCATTACGTGTTACAACCTGCTTGTATTTGTTCGTATATAAAGTTTGTTATATCTTTTTATCCCATCAACTGGTATCAGAGTAGACTTTTAATGATTTAATTTTTTGTGTTCGAACATAGATGTCAATAGTATTTCTCGCATTATTAGCTTCAATAAAAACAATTGGATTACGTGAAAATCAAGAATAAAAGATCTCTTTTATTACAAAGATTTGTATAGACCTTTGTAGGGGGATAGTGCAAAGCCCGCAACTATGACATATGATGAGTGAACGAGGTTAGATTGAAAAATGATCAGGTTTACTCGATAATGACTCGATAATAGTGCCTTTCACTATGTTTCTATTAAAAGTTCTACATATTCATTTTGGAAAAAGTTAGAAAGTTTCTATGAAAGAAAACAATTGACAATAAAACTTTCTTAATTAGAAAACTTATGGACCTAAAATATAAAGAAGGTGCTTCTATTAATGAGCATTTGAATGAAATGTAAAGTATTACTAAACAATATCCTCTATGAAAATGTCTCTTGATGATGAGTTGTAGGCATTGTTACTTCTCAATTCATTGTCAAAGAGTTGGGAGACATTAGTAGTTTCCCTTAGTAATTATGTGTCAGATGTTGTTGTCATCATGAGTCAAGTAACAAATAGTTTGTTGGATAAGGAGTTGAGAAGAAAGAATTCAACAACATCTCAGAATGATTCACAAGCATTTATCTCAAAGAACAAAGGATGGTCAAAGTCCAAGGATAGAAATAGTTCACAGATGGGTAGAAGAAAGTCAAGATCAAGAAAAGATATTATTTGCTATAATTGTAATGAGAAAGAACATTAGTAGAAGAAAGTCAAGATAAAAAAAAATATATTGTTTGCTATAATTATGGTAAAAAAGAATGTTATAAAAACCAATGCAACAAACCTAAGAAGAGCAAGAAAAAAGAAAAATAAGTAGAGTCTATAAAGTTAAGAGATAATACCACAACTATAGTACAAGGTGATGATTATTTGATTTTGTCTCTTTCTGATGATATTTTCTCTTGTGCATATCAGGATCTTGAGTGAGTGATTGACACAAGTGCTTCTTATCATACTACACCACAGAGAGAGTTTTTTGCTACCCATAGGTTTGAAAATTTTGGTGTTGTCAAGATGGGCAACCATGGCATGGCAGACATCATTGGCATGGGTGATATCCACATAAAGACCATCCTTGGCTACAAGTTGGTGCTTAAGGATGTGAGACATATGATTCACTTGAGGCTGAATTTAATTTCAGTTGGAAGACTAGATGATGAAGACTATGATAGTAGATTTCATAGGGCAATGGAAGCTCAGTAAGGGTTCTCTTGTTATAGCTAGTGGAAAGAAATGTCGCATCTTATAAAGGTTCCAAGCCAAAGTTTGTAGTGAGTAGCTGAATGCTATAAAGAAAAACCAACATGGAGTTGTGGCATAGGCGATTGAGATACATAAGTGAGAAGAGGCTGTAAGTTCTTTCAAAGAAAGAGGTATTGTCAGACCTCAAAGGTACACATCTAAACCCTTGTATTGATTATTTGTTTAGTAAATAACACAGAGTTTCATTTGTTAGTTCGACTTTATCTAGAAAAATATATGTCCTAGACCGTATTTATACAAATGTATATGGTCTTTTAGGGACAAAAACTCCCAGTGGATCTATTAATGTTCATGACATCAATGGTGCACTTTATTTTGTCACTTTTATAGATGAATTTTCTAAAAAAGTTTGAGCTTATGCTATGAAGACCAAAGATCATGTTATTAATGTCTTCAAAGAGTTTCATGCTAGAGTTGAAAGGGAGACAGAAAGATAATTGAAATACGTAAGATCATATAATGTTGGTGAATCCACATGATTGTTTAATGATTATTGCAGGTCACATGACATCCAACATGAGATGACAGTTCCTAGTACACCTCAACATAATGCACAAGATCATGGAAAAGATCAAATATATGCTTTCATAGGCCAAGCTACTCAAAAAGTTTTAGGATGAGGTTTTGAGAACAATAGTTGATGTGATTAACTTATTACATTGTATAACCCTAGATGGTGATGTTGTAGAGCATGTATGGTCAGAGAAAGATATTTTCTATAGGCATTTGAGAGTGTTTGGTTGTTGTACATTTGCATATATTCCAAACAATGAGAGGTCCAAACTAGATGGTAAGACAAAAGAATATATTTTTCTTGGCTACTCACATGATCAATTTGGTTACAAGCTTTGGGATCCAAAAAAGCAAAAGGTGTTTAGAAGCCGACATGTGGTCTTCTTTAAGGATCAAACATTTGAGGATTTGAAGAAGAAGGCATCAGCCAAGACTTCTATAGAAGGATTAGCAAATTGTGACCCAGTTATTCCTCCAATATATTAAGGTGATGGGGAAGATATGTAGAAAGACTGTGTAGAGTCTGATATTGATCTACTTGTTGGACATGTTAAGCAAGAAGAAGTTGGGGAGCAATGTTAGAACCCTTGCAGATTCTAAGCTTGGGGTTGATCTCTTTAAGGGATCAACCTCCTTGGAACTCTATAGGGGTTCCTTCCTCTAAGTTGCTACTCAAAGGCTATAGAAAAGATTCATCTATTGCTTGAGAAAAGAGGATAAATACATGGCTATTTATAGGGCTTCTAAACCCCAACTCCTAATAGGACTCCTACTCAAGACTTCTATTCCTTTACAACTCTTAATGCTTCTCTACGAAACAACCTCCTAACCCTAGTCAGCCTCTTCACCTCTTTAATAGGGGTTAGCTAGGTATGTTTTACATGAATGTCCCTTTCAATTAGGACTCTCTTAGCTAGAGTCTTAATAGATCCGTCGTCCTCTTCAAATCAGCCTTGTCCTTGAGGCTGATGATCCATGAATTTTAGGAATTTGATCTTCAAGTCGTCGTAGTTCTCCCAAGTGGCACATTCTACTAGTAAGTTCGCTCACTATATTAGCACTTTAGTAGTGGGTCGTCGTCGTCGAGTCATGATCTGTTGATCAATAATGGCACTTGGTTGGGTTTGGAGTTCTCCTTGGATAGTCATATTTGGTGGATGGCTTTGGGTTGTCTCGTTTTGTCCCAGCTTCAGCTTTAAACACGACACATGGAAGACTGGATAGATTCAATAACTGGCGGGTAAGTCCAATTTGTATGCTACAACTTTGATGTTCTCCAAAATTTGGTAGGGTCCATAGAACCGAGGTGAAAGCTTCATAGATGCTCTGATCTGGATTGATGTTTGCTTATATGGCTAGAGCCGTAGGAAGACCCAATCTCCTACTGAAATTTTTTTGTTGATCATATTGTTGTTTCATCCTTACTTGAGTTGCAGTGAAATTATCTTTTAGCAACTTTAGCATTTTGTCTCTGTCTTATAGTTCCCTATCTACTTGTTCCACTTTAGAGGCACCCAACATATATTTTGGAATCACAGGGGGAGGTTGGCTATACAAAGCCTTATAGGGAGTATATTTTATGGATGAATGATAAGTTATATTATATCACCATTCTGCCCAGAGAAGCCACTTTGTCCACTCTTTTAACTGGTCACTAGTGAAGTATCTGAGGTATATCTCCAAGCACCTGTTCACCACTCCCGTCTAGCCATCGATTTATGGGTGATATGCCATACTCCTTTTCAATTTAGTGCCCTGCATCTGGAATAACTCTGTCTAAAATCTACTCATGAAGATGTAAGTAGAATTTGGCATAAGCACAATGCGTCCATAATAGTGTAATTCTTTTGAGTCCCAACTGTAATGAGCCACGGAGCTTGGTGCTTCCTCCAATTTTTTTTATAATCTTACTAGTCTCCAGATCTTCATGTCATCCCCACTTAGTATCATCAAGGAAGTCGCTGGTCGAAAGTGAAACAACCAATAATTTAGCTTGCTCGGGTAACCGCGAAAGCGTATCTGCAACAACATTCTCTTTCCCCT